GGTAGCATATGTATAATTTCTGAGATCATGAAGAGATAGGTTTAGTGTTCTGTCACAAAATAGCCTTTGTGGCCACTGTAGAGATAATATTACCTTAGATTTCTTTATGCATAACTCTTTTGTAGCTTTTATTATATTAATATTACTTGTTCAAATTTTCTTCCTATGTGGAAGCTCTTGAAGGCAAGAACTGTCTTTTTAGCTTAGCTCCTTTTATTGCCTCTGTATATATAGTAAGAGTTTATGAAAAATTTATAAGTTAAGTGTTCTGGGTATATATAATTTATTCATTAAATCCACAAACATTTTTGTCAGTCTGCTAGTCACTAAAATTTTGAAGGTGAACAAAGGGCTCTTGCCCTCAAAGAACATACAACATGAATTTGTCTAGGATGTTCTGTTAAGTCTCTTTCTTGATTGTCCTTTTATTTCCACTAATCAAAATTCAAGTAATGGAAACTTAAAAATTTTTTTGAAAACAAAATTTGTTGAAAACAAAGTCAACTGGTTAATAGTCACTACTAAGAGGAAGCAAAATAGTAAAGCAGGAGTAAGATCTACCAGAATGAGTCAGCAGTATCTGGCCATGAATCTTGTAGACTACAGAGGAAAGAATGTATATAGGGTCTTAGTGAAATACATCAAATGAGGAGCAGTGGCAGCAAGTATAATCTCTGTTGATGGAGTTTCAGTGAAAAGAAAAATCTCCAAATGAGGTATGACATTATGTTAAGTGGAAATGAAACTTAGCAAGGTAAAGAGCAAAGCAGGACAAATAAATGACAATGAATAGGTTACTAATGTTGAGTTGCCTGTTCTTTATTCTTTGTAGGCTGATTTTTTTTGAGGTTATATATGAGCAAGGCTTGCAGCAAATTTGAAAGCTTTGGTGGGCCTCTGGTCGGAGTGGCATTGTTTTGACATGAGGACATCAGCTTTTGCAAGACATTTTTTTGAAAGGAAAAACCATTTAAATCTATGTAGAAGATTTTTACAGTATTTTAGCCATATAAAATAATGGTTAAATTATTATTCTTTGCTATTTTGGCTCTATTCTTATAATCCTTTTTTATCATAATTATATTTTAAGATTAATGATTTTTATTTTATCAATTCTTTTGTAAAAATTTCTCTTAGATTTCATTTTAAGGTAACACCATATTTATACAATTCTCTATATCTCCCTTATTTTTAACCTTGATCTATATTGATGGGAAAGAAAATAAAGGTATAATAGTATAGAATTAAGCATCCAGATATTGACAACTGTACAAATTATCTAGCTAGTATGAACTGAACCATCCATTTTTCTGCCATGTCATTTATTTATAAATCTTTTTTCTTAGTATGGAGACATTTCTTTTTAACATGCTGCAAGCTAGTAATGGCCTCTTGGGCAGTAAAAGGCAGTCTTTTATTGTTGTTGTTTTTCTTCTAAGCCTAAAGAGAGTAAGTATATTCTCTTGCTTGCTTCTTAATAAGAATCTAGTATTACTCTATGCATCTCCCCTAAACCATATATGTCAGTAAAAAGTGCCTGGGAAGCTCCTCTGCTTGTAAATTATCTCTAGTGATTAACTGTTGTTGATGGAGCAATTAGAAAAGCTGAGTAAATGTTATATTATGGGTTATATTGCCCTCAATACAACATTGTATTAGCCTTTGTAATTCAGAAAAAATTGTTTTCAGATCTTTCCAAATATAACAAGATGAGAAATAAGTGAAACATAACTGCTATTTTTTAATTCCATCAAGCCCCTAAAGGTAATGTTTTTGACCCCAGGCTGGTAAGATACACATCTTTCCTGGAGCAAAAGAGATCTTTTTTTTCTTGCCCTGTGTAATTTCTCAGACATAGGCATTTTCAAAAAGGCTGAGTATAAATGAATTAACCTATTTAGTATTGGATCCCACATCATTTCAGCTTGTGCTAATAGGGTCAAATGGGCATAGTCTTTAAATGTGCTCCCATGTCATATGTATACTTTAGCTGCATTCTGGCCTTCTGGCTCAGTATGATGCAAGAATATAACATTTTAGCACTGCAACACAAGGAAAGCCCATTCTCAATTATTCTTGCTATAAGCCATATAAACAGATATAACTTTGTTCCATAGATTTCCATTATGTAGTATTTCTACATAACAAGTATGCTTGTTAACTTCATGGAAAATGGAGGCTTATGGAAGATTTTTTGATTAAAGTACTTGCTGCTTCAAGCATGATGAGAGGACTTTAACTCTAGAATCATTTAACAGTAAAAATGCAGTAATATTACAAATGACATATGATGAACATTCATTGATAGGCACTATCTTTTGTTAGTAACGAAACATTGGAAAACTTTGCTTTTATATCCCTTATATCCTTATTATGTTTTCTTATTGTAGAATGTCTGATTTTCCTTTTTTCATTAATGGTTGTGTTACAGCTTCATGTAGGCAGATTTTATTGAACATTCTTTAATTTGTTTTATTTTTATATATGTTTTTATACCAGCATATCCCAATATATACCCCACAAGATGTTAATAGGCTGGGTTAAATAAAACAGAAAGGTTTCTTTTTACTGTGGGATAAATCCTTTTTATTACTAGTATATGTAACAGCAGCGATATGTTTGATTATTCTGTGATAATAATTTCTCATGGCATACTATTTTGTCCTGTGCTGTTGCTAAAATAGCAGTCCTGTTTTTGTTTTCTTGGAATCGTACAAGATTAGTAGATTTTTAACTCAGTTGAGGGTCCTCAGAGCATCAGCTATTAGAAACTATTTTTTTTTTCCTCCTGTTATTTATCTTTAAAAAAGAAAATATTTCAGTTGGCGTTTTTATAGGATCAGGAAGAAACTCAGAAAATTTACAACTGTTTCTGATTCCATCCTGCTGAGATTCTTTTTAGGGGAGCAGTCTCTCCATAAAATAAATATCTATGGCTTCTGTCCATATAGCTTGAGCATCAGAACTGTAAGAAAGTTCAAGTATCTTAGCTGAGGGACCTTGTCAACTAGAGAATTTTTGAGGTCATTGCGAGTTTAGGAATTTGGAGGTCTGAGTGCTGATTTCCGAACTGAAAGAGACAATTTAAGAGAAAAACAAAAAAGAGAAACTGTCCTGAAAGATTGAGAGACATATTATGCAAGAAATAGTGCATATTTTCCTTTGAGTTTTTTGAAGATTTCTTTCTTAGGTGAACTTTACTATTGCTAATAAACCTATGATGGGATACGTAAGAAAAACTACACTTTTAGGTAAAATTAGGATAAGGAAGAAACTTTAACCTTAAAATCCCTCGAAAATCTCCACGGTTCTTTTCAAAATAACTGTAAGGTGCTGCCATTTACCAAGGTATGGTTCTTTAATTAAACTTGCTTTTTTTCAGGTACCAGCATTCAGGATATTAAGAGGACTCTGGAAATTGTGCTGCATTTATCTTCAAAGTTTTTTTATTTAATGTGTTTTTCAGTTTCATTTTATGATGTTTATTAGAAAGTGTGATTGCTGTGTTTTGCTTATTTTCCCCCATTTCATTCCAGTTGTGGGCTAAATATTATTTGGATCTACTTTAACCATTATCATGTAATTTCTCTGAAGATTAGCCTATTTTATAACTTCTCAGAACACATTTAAAGACTACCTGGCCTATGTAACAAGATACTGGTTTTGTTTCTGCATGACATTTACTATCTTAGACCATTTAATTAGTATTTAGTAGGTGAGCAGTTGACTACCAGTTGGTTTTAAAAAACAAATGCAGTAATAGGGAGTGGATGTGAAAAGTGAAAGTATAAAGTAGTTCAGGATGTTATAGGTAAGAGATCATTCAGATCAAGATTTCAACAGAAAAAAAAACCTTCCTTATGCATTAATGTTAAAATTTGATCTTATCTGGAAAGGGCCTATGCAATTTTTTGAAAGGCCCTCTTGCTTTTCCCTTTCCCCTTCTTTTTCCCTCCCCCTCCCTTTATAGAACTAAATAAGTCTGGCTGTCTGATTTGGTTGCCAGACTAAAATTAGCCCATAGTGATCTGGCAACTATAATATTTAAAGTCTTCTAGCTTGATTTATTTTGACATGTACATCTAGTGGGGAGGGAAATATTATGGTAAGTAGTCACACCCTAAATTTATGACCTGTTTGGATTGAGTGACCATGTATTCCAGTTGCCTGGGGATAGTCTCACTTTACATCTATTACTTATGTGTAATTTTTGATAACTTCCCTTTTTACTCTCAAAAGTGTTCTAGTCCAGTGAGGAATTCTATGGCCACTTTGTATTTTGATAAATGGTATTGATTTACTTCAAATACCAGTCTCTAGAGTTAGCAATGATATTATAACTGCATAAGGACAGGTTTCTGGCTTTCCTCCTCTTTCCTGAAGCTTCACCAAGATTCTCCTCTTGACATCACTGTTTTTACCTTTATTGATTTAAATCGATGCTATCTCTTCCCATGACTCTTTCCATAGCATATTTGGTGCCATTCTTAGACTTTGGGTTCAAATTGTGATACTGAATTTGCACTGTGGTTGCAAAACAGAATTAGTGTGGCCCTTTGTAGCCTGATAGAAATTAGATTTCTGATCAGTTGCACTTGTTTGCAAGGGATGAAGGAGTGAAATGAGGATAAAAGGGAAGGAAGACAGATTAGGTAGACTGGGCAGTAGCAACCATTTATTCTAAAAATAATTTTGTTTAAATGAGTAAGTTTGTCATAGGATGTGGTGACTTGGTGGCATTTTCTGCTAGCTTGACTTACTGCTTATAAAATTCACTTCAAGAATTAGGGATTTAACATAAATAAAATACATTAAATCCTAAGAAAATCTCTCCTGATTCCAATTTTGTGTATTCTAATATGTATATATTTATTACTTTATATGAATTGTATTTTATCCCAAATATGCTTATATTGTTTTAATGCATTAATGTTTTAAATAAATTAATTATCATAATTGGCTATGAGGAATTTCAAACCTATAAAGTGAACTAGAACTCATTTAAACTGACTAGTAATTCTGTAACTTTTATTTTACAGGTCATGTAATGTTTGCAGAAATAAAAATGGAGAATGGAAAGTCAAAAGGCTGTGGAACAGTCAGATTTGACTCCCCAGAATCAGCTGAAAAGGCCTGCAGAATAATGAATGGCATAAAAATCAGTGGCAGAGAAATTGATGTTCGCTTGGATCGTAATGCATAAGTTCAAGCCATGGTTGGAACATTCCTACATCTGTTTTGCTGAATCTCCTAGTAAAAGTCATTTTTTAAAGTAATATTGTATGCTTACAAAAGCTGTAAAAATGAACTTTTAAAACTCCCACCAGCTTTTAACAGTATAATGTTAAAAATATACTGTAATTTTTGTTTATCTCAAGTTTGGGTTTTTAAAGACAGCAAGTCTGGTCATTCAGTTTAAATGAATGGTTATACTGTTTTTAATGAAATAAGCCATTTTCTTGTTGTTTTCAGTAGTACATAGTGGGATTTGTTTGCTCTAGTTTCTCCAGTTTTTATCAACTTATTGTACAGTAAAACATAGATTTTTTTTCCCCCCAAAAACTTCTGTTTCATAATATGTATTTGTTCATGAAAAGAAAGGTCTCAGAAAAATTAGGATGTGATTTTGGTTGGTTTTAAATTACTGTAAGTTTTAGATTCTAAAGTTCAGGATTTTAAAAGTTTCATTTAAATGAAGAAATGGATTTTTGTCTCTGCCCCTCCCTGCCATTCACATTTTCTGCATAACACTATGAATAATATCAATCTCTGCAGCCCCTTATTTTGTTATTTCCAATAATTCCAAGTTCATATAGAACTGATAATGTAGCAAGTCCCAAGTATGATAATAGGCAGACTACTCCCAACTTTCTGTCTAGTTTCCAGTCATTAAAGTGAACTGCTAAAAAAAGAAAAATAATTGAAATGTTGAGAGAGATGGTTGTATAAGTTAGTCCTCTGCTGTTTACTTCTACAGGAGCTGATCCATTTATAAATGCAGTTTTAATAAACCATGGAATACCAAGGCACAACATATCAAACACATTGGATCCCACGATGTTAGACATAGCCATATCTCCTTTCCCTATAGAAGAAAAGCATATTGTTAAAATGTGCTTACCAATACTGTATTTTATTAATAATCTTCATAAGAAAAGAAACACTGGATACTTTTTTTGTTATTGGTTCATTTTGAAAAATTGTTGTTAGAATAAATGTCTTAATGAATTTGTATTTTAAAATTGTTCTTGCGTTAGTATTTAAAGTCTTAACATTTATTTAATGATTATATTTATTAAACCATTTTTCAATAAGATGTATAGCTTACTTGTTGCTTTTCATTGTAATTTAACATGGTTAATTATTATTTAATGCACATTTCAAATGAATATTATTTGGGGGATTAGATTGAGTGAAATTAACTTGCTATTAAATAGTAAACATTTCCTCGAGTCACTTTTTTTCCCTTCAAAGTATGTTGCTGAGGAAGTAAATATTTTTAAAGCTACTTTTACTCATTCCAGGCTTGTAGAATGACCATCGCAGCTTGAGGGACCTAATTCTTACCTTTTCTTGCAACCAACACACTTGCAATTGTGTCTGGTATGCTTGTTCCCGCTGCTAATAAAGTAAGGCCCATTACTGTATCTGGAATTTCTAGTGTTTCCCCTGTAATAAACAGATATTCCTAGTTACAAATCTTACAGATTCACTAACCATTCTTTGCAGTTATTTTGGATATTTCCTTCCTGAACAAAAATAAAATAGGCACATTTAGAATTCAGAGCCAATATGTGCTTGCTTAGTTTTTTAGCTAGCAAAATATTTGAATCAGGTTGTTAATTTGGGTAACCCAGTTAGCACAGATGTTTTTTAATGACATATCTAAGGATATGTAAAATTCTGCCAATGAGAAATTTTCCTGTTTGATATTATTACAGAAGATGTTTATGTCCACCATTACCTTCATCAGGGCTGTGATGAATATTTGCTAATGAGACTGATCGTTCCTCATTTCCATTCTTAAAAATTTTTCTTAAATTAGTGTTAAGCAAATTAATTATAGCTATCTTTAAGCTATAAATGTGTTAACATATATATACCATTTATTACGTTCTACTTTAGTGGTACACCTTAACTTAGTGATTTTTTTGAGGGGGGAGAAGTTCATTAATCTCTGAGGAAAACAAAACCTGTTTGTTTTCTACTTGAGTCTAACATATGGTCCCAATTTATTAATACTTCTGTTAAATTTGATGTTAAGTCAACATTTTTCAAAACTGTATTTATTCTCAGAAACAGAACCAGAGAGAAGTTTTTTTAAAAAAGGATATGTAACTGTTCTTTTAATGTTGTAATTGAAAACTTGGTTTAATATCTTTTTATTTCTCTTTATTTCTTAAAATGCCAATGAAAATAATTAGAAAGTAGCTTATTTATTGCATGCTTATATATTGATACTTGAATTGGAATTGGTTGTTAATTTCTGTTACTGGCTTTGCTAGAATTCATATGTGCATAAATAACACTAGTATTTATCATCTTGGGGGCTGTTCTGTGATCTATTACATGATTTTTGCTCTCTTTTAATTTTCCTAATATCAAATGTGTTCTAGCTGAGTGAATTTGGATAGATATAATATACAAGCTAATTGGACTTTTTCATTTCTCTCATTAAGAAAGAAGAAATAGTCTGCTTTTTGCTAGCATAATATTCTAATACTTACATTAATTTGGGAAAAGTCAAGGGTCAACAAATTTTTGTGTCTGTGAGGGGCCAGATAGTAATTATTTAGGGTTTGCAGGCTTTGTGGTTTCTGTTGCATTTATTCAGCTTTTCCAATGTAGTGTGAAAGCAATCATAGATAATATGTAAAACTTTACGAATAAAAACAAGCTGGGTTATTTTGGCACACTGGCAGTAGTTTGTTCACCTCTGCTATCAGTCAATTCGGGTTAACCTTTGTAGGATAAATAACAGATTATTTTTGTCTTTGTTGTTAGTTTTTTGTTTGGGGACTATAGTGGATTATGGCCAAGCAGCAGTAAAGTCTTAATCATGAAGGTAGTAGAAACCTAGAATTACACTTTATTTTATACCTTTTCACTCATTTCATAGTATGTTTGTGTTGCCATGTTGAAAAAAGCAAATAAAATATAATCCACTTTAGTGGTGAGCACCCATTGTTTTCTCAAAAATAGAGCTCCTTGCTCTGTTTTTTTTCCCCTTATGTAATGGAATTGGATATAAAGAGTTTATTGCAAACCCCATGGAATGTGATTAAATTATTAGCACAATAAAAAGACATTCTATGAATTTGATTTCATTTACAAGATGATTTCTTGAATTGTACCCCAGGCTGAATAACAGTGGAAAATACAGTTTATATATAATACACAACTCACAAACCCAAATGATCTTGTTATAGTAATACTGAAATCATTTTAAAAATGATACTAATCTTCAGCCTTGCTGAAAAGAAATTTGCTGTGTAGCTAGACTACTTTGAATGAACTTAAGCAATTTGATCTTATATGAAATTATTTTCGAGTTGTCCTATTGTGCTTAAAATACATACCAGTTATTGTGACCATCCAGACCAGGATGTATGTAAATGCAGATATCCATAGTGCAGACATGAAAAAGGTTATCACAAAGTAGTTTTTCCAAAACTTTCTTCTACAATCTGGTGTGGTTAGAAAAAGTAATGTGATAATAGGAAGGGATAATACCCAGAAAATTCTTTTTAAGTCTGCTTCAGGCATGTTGAAAACACTTGGTAGATCTGTTGTGGAAAAATTAAACACTTTTGAGTTTTCTCAATTGCTGATTTAGAAATGTCTACTTAAAATGCTATATTGAAATAAATTGGCTGTGTCAGTTTTTAACAGGCTGTTTAAAACATTTGAGTACCTCATTACTGACATTGCTGGTGAAAAGAAACTAATTGAAACTTTAGGGCAGACAGTGTGAGATGTGATACTCAGCATACTTTATTTGGGGCCTTAAATTTGTCAAAATGTCTTGGGCCATTTCCTAAATATATTATAGATAGTGTTTATGAAGTGTCAATTGGACATCTCATGTAGATTGTCTTCCGTAACCTTTTGCTTAGGGGATTAACCTGGCTTCTAACCTGGCTACTCCAGTTGTCTCCACTTCACAATATTGATGATGCCTCTGCCTGCCCTATGTACCAGCTAATGTGTACTTAGAGAATATAACACAATTATAGCATCATCTTTTTTATTAAGTTGCATATCCTAATTCTTATTGGAAGTGGTTTTTCTGTCCTGTTTCATTACTATTTTATTTATTCAGATTTTTCCGAAGTTCATAGAAAGAACCTTAAAGTAGGAGCTAGTATATCATCTACAATATAATTTATGAAAATTGAGTATATTTCTTTATTCAATTTAGTTTAGTGAAAGACAAGGATAATGATTATATATTGGATAAAAATGGGAATTTAAAATTGTTTAAAATTTATATGGCATTTACAAATTGGATCAAATCATGTTAGAACTAATGCTAGTACAATAACTCTTAAAAAGTTTGCCAAACTTCAACCAATATGCCATTAAGTAATACTTGATACAATTTTAACATATCAAAGAGTTTGGATTGGTTCCTGTGCATTTCTTATTAAAAACTTAATTTAGAGATGCACACCTCTTATATCTGAAAGAGCAGAAGCTATAATTTTTGTAAGAAGGGAAAAGTCATTTCAATTTTTTAAGTAGTAAATTAAAATAAGCTATCCTCCTAAAGCCTTGATTAAAATTAGAATCTGTTTTAGACAACCACTTTATAAAATAGTAACCTATGAACTTATAATTCTGATCATAGCTGAATTTGACTTCCTAATGAACATATTTACCTAAATGTTTTGCTACTGCTTTAAACAGTAAGTCTCAACTGTTTTTCTTCATTCTTCCAAACCAGCCCCTTTTCCTGAGTTCCCGGTTTTCATAAGTGGTGTACCCATTTTCTTAGTCAAGATTCGAATGTAGGAGCTATCTTGGTTCCTTTTTCTGGACCCATATAGTCTCAGTTGCCAAATCTTGGTGATGCTTCCTTCATATAGTCTCACATCTGTTCTCTTTTATTCCTACCACTTTCACTTGGTCTAGGCACCTAGTAAACATATCAGCTGTTGTAATAGCCTCTTGCACACCTCCTTGTCTCTTACTTCATATTTAATTCACTGAATATGAACATCACTCAGGGTAACATTACTAAGATAACAGTTCTGATAATTTCTTTCCTCATAAACCTTCCAAAATTCTTAACAATAGCATTTAATATTCTCATCCTGTGTCTTTCTTTCTGCCTTTCCTTACTATACATATACTGGCTATATGTGCTTTACTCTTATCTCTGCATCAGTAGCTGTTATTTACTGGTCGTAACATCATGTCATCAGTTAAAATCTTACTGGTCCAGCAAGGCCCAATTTAAATGCTCCCTTCTCTGTGAAAATCTCCTATCTAACTGTCCTCACCAGATTTTGATAATCTGTCCCATTTGTGAACCACAGTCACACTTTATTTTTTTATGGTACTTATACGTACGTTCATATTTTAGCTATTTTGTATTTCCTATGATATTGGAAGTTTCTTAAGAGTAGGGACTTAGTCTTTATCATTTCTGAGTCTTCACAGTCTTACATAAAAAGCACACAATACCTGCTGAATTGAAATTTTAAAGTTCTGCTGTTGTGAATAGTCTTAATAATGGGCAGGATTTAGTGATTACCTTCAGAAACCTGACTAAGACCATGTAAACTTATAGAGAGCTGAGAGTAGCCAGAGTCTTCATAAAATATTCCACTATCAGTTCTTGATTGCCGACGAATGAATGGTTGACCTTCATCTTCCCATACCATCAGTGGCTGTTGTTCACTTCTCTCCATCGCTTTGGCAAGACAGGTGCAGCAAGGACTGCATTTCTTTATAATATATTGGTTAATTTTAATGTCAAAACACAGCACCAAAACATATAATCCATATATCAAAAGCAGTAAAGTTCCTTCATACCTATAAATTAAAGGAGAAATTTGTGTTTTTAAATTAAAAATGAAAGTCATTTTGGTGCTGATAGCTTTTGAGCAGTATCTATTGAATGACTTTCTAACAAAAGTAGCCACAGAACAATAAAACATTTCTAGATTTTTTTTTGTAGATTTGTCCAAACTTGGTTACAGTATTATTTCTAGATATTTTTTTTGTAGATTTGTCCAGACTTGGTTATAGCATTATTGTAAGTTTACTGATAAAAACTGGACACTTGTAAGTTAAAAAAAAACAAAAACAAAAACAACAAGATGAACAAACTCATTTTTACTTGTAGATGCCTTTCAAATGGTAGGTATAAAATACAATGAAAATCATAATTGGGGATTTTCAAAATAAGTGTAAAATTATTGAATAGTGGTGAACATTTTCTGCCTTAGCTCATTGGCACAATACATTCCCCCAAATACTTTAAGTCATTTCAACTGTCCAAGTTTTCTGGTATAGGAACTTTGTGTAAAATATTATTCAGAATATGGGAGACTTTGGCTGAGACTTTTCTGTTTGCTATACAGAGCATTTTTAATGATTTTAATGTAGGTGAAGTTGGTTTGCAGTCACAAGAAAACAAGATGTTTTAAAATATAAAATTATACCTTGGGAACCAAGAACTGTTTCTCTCTACTCTGGCAATTAGCAGAAGCCATCACATTTGAACCTTGCAATTACCTTTTATTTTATAGCCACTAAATCTCTGCTACATCTTAAGGAACAGTTCTGATTTCCCCAACTGAGGGAGCATTAGCTTGGGTACTCTCACAGTCACTGTCCCTTACTGATGACTGCCAAATTCTAGAAGGATTTCTACTCTACCAACACAGTCTGTCTTAGGGAGACAGACTAGATGACAAGATGATTAGTTTAGAAATTATGCTTCTGGCTGGGTTTTAAGTTTCTTGATAGCAGGTTTTATATAGTGCTGCAAAGTTGTGGTTCTCCAGTTGGGCACCATTTACTTTTCTTTTTTTGAGACAGAGTCTCGCCCTGTCACCTAGGGTGGAGTGCAATGGTGCGATCTTGGCTCACTGCAACCTCCACTTCCCGGGTTCAAGGGATCCTCCTGCCTCAGCTGGGATTACAGGTGTGTGCCACCACACCCGGCTAGTTTTTTTTTGTGTGTGTTTTTAGTAGAGATGAGGTTTCACCATGTTGGCCAGGCTGGTCTCAAACTCCTGACCTCGTGATCTGCCCACCTTGGCCTCCCAAAGTGCTGGGATTACAGACATGATTACACCGTGTCTGGCCACATTTTTTTCTATTTTTCCAGTGTCCCCTGGAAGCTACGCGATGTTTAACCTGTGTAGCTGTGTTTTACATATCATTATCCCTTGTATCTAGCACCTAGTAGGTGCCTGCTACTTACTAGTTGAAAAAGTTTGTGTTTGTCTACTCAGTCACCCCCTTTTTCATTTTCTTGGACCAGCTAGTCACAGAGAGATCACAGAGAAAGCAAACAATTTTTAATATTAAAAGCTGAGCATTGTTAGTTCTTAGAAGAAGAAGGCTGTAGTTTCTCCCGAATAAGCATCAGAAGTTTGGAGGAATTTTAAATGACTTCTTTTACATTCTCTACCATCTTTCTCCAGTCTTTTGTGACTATGACCACTTCTAACCAAGGCAACGTAAGCAGTAATGCAGCAGAAGAAACAGTCAATGGTTGTGGCTTTAGTGGACAACAGAAGTTGGGAAACTTTCTGAATAGGCAGCCAGTGGGGAGAAGGGAAAGTGGTGGTCTCCAGTCACTGGTGAGAGGAAAAAGGAGACTGTGAAGTGACTAAAAAGAAATTGCAAACTAGTGAGAACTGGATCAGCCATTGTGATGAGGTTAACTCACAGACCTGTTGGAATATGGTGTGGAAGTGGCAGATGAAGGGACTGAAATAACACTTCTGAAAAAAATGTTACTAAAGCATTAGAATTTCATAAAATCTCAGTAATTTTTATATAAGAATAATTTTCAAGCTTACCAGTAAACTTGGTTGTCGTATATTATACCAAGAACTGCTGCTACACTAATTGCGTATGCTGCACAGTCTCTGAATAGGGGCCAACATGATAGTGTTGAAACCTGTAATATGATAAGTTATTATTTCCATTACATTGTAACTTCAAGTACAATCCTTAGTATAATACTAAAATTGTTTGTATGTTTGTAGTTAAATATTGTTATCTTTTACATATTGCTCAGATAAAAATAAAAATTGTGTTCTAACTTACACGGACTTTCATAAATCTAACCATGGGCTATTTGTAGACTCACTTCAAATTGAATACATGTTGTTTTTCTACTGATTAATAAATTTGATTGCACATATTATTAGTGCCCTGTTGTCCATCCCAGTCTACGATGTTATCTTTAGAATTTTTTTAGGACAATAAATTTTGTTGAATGGTTTTGCTACATACCATATTAGATAGCAAGCCACAGGCTGCACAGATGCCAAGGAGATTATAAATTGCAGATCCAAGAATGGTGCTAATGCCAATATCTCCCTTTGTGATAAATACACCTATGTGCAAGATAGTCAGCCAAGTTAGTGTTAACTTGAAGAAAGTAAAATCACACTGAGTCAACAAAAAGTATTTGGAGCAATATTTACCTAGGAAAGCAGTAACTAATTCAGGAGCTGAACTACCCGCTGCCATGAAAGTTGCGCCTGCAACATCCTGAGACAGTCCAAGGGCTGAACATAAATAAAATGATTGTTAGCCTAGTAAAGTGAAAGAGTATGTCTTTACAACTAAACACAATAGATACTCAGAGCTACAGCTTCACATAAAACCACTAATATTTACTTAAACTTTAAAATATACAGATCAGTAGTTGCAGTGTTTTGCTTTGTTATGAATTCATTACTTAATACTTCTATAGATAGGGTGAGAAGGCCGAGACTAAAGGGAGTGCCAAAGGGTTATTTGGAACCAGAAAAGCCTCTTTTCTAGCTGAAGGGCTTGTAGGTGAATAGCAACAGCATGGCTTTGAAAATTAAAGTAATTTGGAAATTGTAACCCAAATGAAAGAAGGATAATAAAAGTTTTTTAGATCTATAATGAAGTTGGACTGAGCTTGTTCACAAATTTACACAAATCTGTTAAGTCATGTCAACTGTCCATTCAAATTTTCTGGTATAGGGACTTTGTGTAAAATACTCAGAATATGGGAGGCTTTGGCTGGGGTTTTCCAGTTGCCACACAGGGAATATTTGATGATTTTAATGTAGCTGAATTTGGCTTATAGTCACAAGAAAACATGGATATTCTTAAAAAATTTGCAGTTTCAACTGTGTCTAGTTACAAATGAGGGAAAATTACTTTAACTAGATTTAATATTGTGTAGCCTCTTGATTTAAAACATGGATCTATTAAAAACTTTCTCTAGGAATGTAAGAAAATACTGAAATACGAAATAGTTTGTGTCTATCCTCCAGACTTACAAGCATGCAAGTTCCTAAACTTAAGTGACTCACAAGATGAGAGTGTTAAGAAATTTTCGGCCCTTTCAATTTTAGGGCCAATATTTACCTACCATAAGAAGGAACAGAGAAAGCCTTTGCTTTGGGAAGGCTGAGATAGGTTTGCATAAGGAACCTCCAACCAGGCTTTACTGATAAACTAAAAACTAGCCAATAGAAGTAGCATGCCATACATTAAATTACCTACCCTAGGTCACAAAGTTAGTATCCAAGTCAGAACTAGAATTTGGGTTTTCAAGACTTGATGGCAACTCTTTGTTGATGTTTAATGTCGTTTACTATACCTATTGGATTTTGAGGCTTCAGTCTTCCCAGACCCTCAAACTCTGGTGTGCTTGATTGAGTCCTTGTCACAGGTGGTCAGTATTTCCTTCTTATTGTTGCCTGCACTCAGGTCGACTTTGTTCTCTAGTCTGCTGGGACTGCATTTGAATTACTGATTCCTTTTTTGTTTCTTGGTGTGGCACATTGTATATTACAATAGGTTACAATATTTTTCTGCTCCACATAGTTTTCGAGAACCCTAAGTCCCCTATAAACAACACACAAAAGTCGTCTCCTCTTCCTGAACCAGAATGAGCCTTTGTGACTGATTTGAGTGCACAGCTATGGCAGAGTCATAATATTTTTGAGGTTAGGACATAAAAGGTGATACAACTTCCTTGGTGTAATCACTTGGGACATTTCCCCTAAGCTATGATATAAGTCCTGCTACTTTGTTGAAACCTCCATAGTGGAGAGACCTCATGAAAATCCCTTATAGAAATAGAGATGCCTAAGGAATTGCTGCTGTTTCAGTCCCCACATTTTGAAACTGCCCAGCCTAGGCACCGGACGTGGGGGAGTGAGCTCTCAGATGATTCTAGCTCCATCCTCTGACTATACCTGCACGAGAGACCCTGGGCGAGAACCACCTAGCTGAGCTCAGTAAACCCCCCAAACGGTGAGAAGTAATTGTTTTTAGCCACTAGGTTTGGGGTGATAGTTAAGTCATATGGTGGTTCATTTATTTGTTACATTTATTGAGTACCTACTATATGCCAGATGCTTTTTTAATGTGCTAGTATATGGCAGTGGACAAAACAGACAAATACTCCTGCTCTCACAGAGCTTTACTTTTAGTAAGGGGAAATAAGGAAAATCGGTATGGTGTTAGAGATAAGTTGCAAGGAGTAAAGGCAGGGAGGGGAGAAAGAGAAAAATGTCAGAGAGGAAGGACTGAAATTTTAGATTGGATAACCAGACAGGACTTAATTGAGAAAATAACTAAAGACTCTGAAGTGAGGAGCTAGTCACTCGTATACCTGAGCTAAAAATATTCTATGCAGAATAAATGCCTGCAAAGGTTCTGAGGCAGAGGCTAGCCTGTGTGGTGGAGAAACAGAAGACCTGCATGTCTAGAATGGAGAGTGTCCGGGGAAAGCAGTAGGTGATGAGATTAGAGGTAATAGGCAGATCATGTAAGGCCTTGTGGATTCCAGTAAGGACATTGGCTTTAATTTTGAAAGATGTGGGAGGTACCTGGAAATCTGTCATCCACATATTGTCTGCTGATGATGCCAGCTCCAGTCATTAATTTTATCCCTTGGGGTAATTTGGTCTGACAGATCCAAACAGCCCTAATCTGAGCTGTTTTGACACCTGCAAAACCATGTGAAAAGTTCTCTTGTGGTAGTTAGAATTATTTAGGCCAGGCCCTCTATTCTATTTGTGTTTGGTCATGTGGCTTGCTGAACATCTATCTGCAATGACTAGTGACGTGAGAAATAAGTGGTTTGTGTAATTTACATTGTATCCTAGTCCGTTTTGTGTTGTATAAAGGAATACCTGAGGCTGGGTAGTTTATAAAGAAAAAAAGGTTTACTTGGCTCGTGATTCTTCTGTCTGGAAAAGTTCAAGATTGGGCATCTGGTGAGAGCCTCAGGCGGCTTGCACTCATGGAAGATGAAGGGGAGCTGGTATGAACAGAGATCACATGGTGAGAGAGGAAGCAAGACAGAGAGGTGGGTAGTGCCAGGCTCTTTTAAACAACCAGCTCTCTAAAGGAACTAAAGAGGGAGAATTCACCCCCTAGGTGGTAACCTCCATGATCTAAACACCTCCCATTACTCCCCATTTCCAACATTTGGGATCAGATTTCAACATGAGGTTTCAACATGAGTGGACAAATATCCAAACCATAGAATATTTCCTAGCATTTATTTTCCTGATCAGAGTGATTACATATATATGTATAGATACACATACATGCATATGTATAATCACTAATCACTCAGCATGTGTATATATATATAGACACACATATATGCTATATTCTTATTACAATTCTGATGAGTACAACTGGTCATAATATTTAAAACAACAAAAAGATAAAGCAGATGGCTCTGTAATTAAGTTTTTTCATTTTAGAAATGAAGTAAATAATATATTCATGGTATACAATGCACTCCCATATACATAATTTAATATCAACTATCCTGAGATATGAGTGTTGATATTCCATTTTACAGATAAACAGGCTCAGGAGGTAAAATAGTATCAATCGGATTGCAAGGGTCTTAAATGTTGAGAGTTAGGGCATAAACCCTGAGCCTACTGATTCTAAGCCCAATGTTGCTTTTATTTTGCCACAGAAACCCAATATAGGAACAGCACTTAGGCCAATTGTAACGTGGAGAGTGACTGAATCTTTTTTTGTTTACACTTTGTGGCAGTGGCACCATAATCACCACCATTCAATCATTTCCTGGTCAAAAAAATAGCTACTGAGAGCCAAGAATACTTAGGAAGTTTTCTAGCACATTCTAGAGAATTTATAAATTTAGTGCTGCTGGATATTATCATGAATTGTCTTCCCAAATCAAATCAGGGCTAGATAATATGTAGAAGAAATTAAAAAAGAACAGAATGCCTTATCTTAAAGTAACTGTCCAAACAGTGCAGCTGAACATTGAGCAATCTTCGTTTAGCACTAGCTGAAGAATGCTTCCTTGAAAACTCAGTCTCAAGAGACAGAGAAGGTGATTTATTGGGCTGTTTCAAGTAGGAAAATAGGTGGTCCTTTAGAAAAGTTTCAATCACATAAGGCAGTAAGAATAAAGCTTGTTCCTATTCATTGCACTCAAATTATGAAAGGAAAGATTTTGTGTAGAAGGATATATAAAACTTAAAGATATTTTAACAAATTATATCTTAACGTTCTAAGAATATTTTATAAAATGTTTTATACCTTTGAACTTTAGAATAGATTGCTTTGTCTTTTCTGACCTTTTGGGTAAAATTTCTTTCCTCTATAGTTTATTATTAAAGATAAATTTTTTCTATTTTTTGTCTCCCATAGCTATTATTCCTTTTTTCCTCTATTACTCTAAAGGAATAATCACATATCCTAGAAGATATAGCAGAAATGCTCAACTTGAATTTTCTTTATAGGTTTAGGTATCAACACGTTGTTTATATAAATAAAACACAACTTCGTGATACTGTGCTGATTATTGAAATTCATCAGACTTCTTAAGTGTGTTCTGTGATGCCACGTTAGAAAGTTAATAATGGTTTTTGAAAATTGCCTTCTGGAAATATTATATATTGGGAAGAATATTAAACTAAAACCGAGACCTGGATTCAGCCCTGCCAGTAACTTGATATGAGACTTAAGTTATTTAGATAAGCCTCAGATTTTTCCATCTGTGAAGTGGAGGGTCAGACTACACAATCTTTAAGGTCTCATCTATTTTTTAAATTTTTGCTCAAAATTATAGAATGTGAATTCTATCATTTAAGGCTCTACACCATTTCTTATTTTTAATTAAATTTCTTTTATAATACCTATGCCCCCCACCGAGTCTACATTACCAAATTGAGAAGATGGAGGGTAAAAATGGAGTGAGGAATACTTTTATTATTATATTTGAACCACTCTGATCATTTTAATATGTGTCTAGTCCTTTTCACAATACACATTTTAAAATAGTTATAGCCATAGGCTATATGCAATTTGGTGTCCTCTGGCATTATTAAAAAATATGCAAACTTTTGTGCTTTGTGAATGGATTAGAGCTTTAGAAACAATCAAAGTCTATCAGACCCAACTCTGGTGAGTAGTTATGCTGAGTCATACAATTTAGCATCCAAAATGAAGTGCAAAGGTGAATTAATGTCTTTTTTATGATTTTCAAAACTGGTTCTGAAATTAATTGTAAATGTATTTC